AACCTGTCAGTGTCAAAATGTTCGAAAGACCATATTTCATAGCACGTACGAAAATGCATAAGTAAGCCAACATACCAACACATGAGCATATGAGCACATCACATTTCACAGCTACACTGCAGCGAACACAAGAATACAAAAATACAAGAACACCGCACAATCATGTAGAGACTGACAAAAAATTCGTAGCATGAGAGAAAATAACTTGTCACTTATGCAGCTATGCTACAATATTGTTGTGATGCAGCGCTGGTTTGTGCTCTAGTCTGTGCTGCTTTATGCTGTTGTCAGTGTATGCATATACGTTGACTTGTTGGCTGTTTATGTGCGAATTTATGAATGCGAATATTTGTACAGACACACACACAAACTTAATCATATACTCGTTCATAAACGCACGTGTATGAATGAAATCGTGCGTACGAAACAAGCCCCAAAGACAAAAATATTGTGTAAATATTTCTCTCATGCAATAATAAACGCAACAATTTTTATGCAAGAAATTATAATTCAAAAATTTGAAATGTATTTACAAAAGCATAGTCTGCGGTCTGAGTGCAAATTGCAATAGGAAAATGCGGCAAAGTGGTGCAAAAACTATTTTGCATATTTGTACAAAATTTTGTGCACGCTTTTGCTGTAGCGTGAAAGTTGCTCACTACATTGTATGCGTGAAATGATAGAGTTACAATTTCAAGTGATAATAGTGTCATATTAATACTGTTGCAGTTTTGTATGCAAACAGATAGCACAAGTGCACATAAATCGTGCACATACATTTTGCAATTAAAATACGTTAAAACCGCCTCGTGTACCCAAAGCGGCGGTGGCGGCAATGGCGGCGATGGTTGTGTATTTAAGCGAAGCAGCAAAGCGTTTTTGGCACCTGGTATGGAGGCGAACATTTTTACTTAAGCTACCTAGAAAATTGACCTCGTTTGTACTCCATGTACTCCATGCACTGTATGTACTGTATGTGCTATAGATAGAGAAATGCATTTCCATATATGTGAGTTCACTTGTATCTTCGCATGCATTTTAAACGGCATTTGTACGTTATAAATGCTGAGTGCGTAGTTGATTGCATGCGTTGATATAAAGACAAGTGACACTAATTGAGGTCGCTGCAAATTGTGTTCGCCGTAAAGCATCAGGCACTGTCATATGAATAATTTGAACTCGGTTTAATACAAGAATGTTTTTAAATTTTAATATATTAAATTTTAAAACTGTGTCATATGCACTTCGTTTTCGCGAAAAGTGGTTTACTTTATTTTATAAACATATATTTTAATTGCATACTATGAACAATAATTCAAAAATCATTAATAAATTGAAATAAACTACAAATTAATTTTATAAATATATATTTTTTAAATTTAATAAGAAATTTGCAATATATATTGGATTAAAAGGCAACTTTATTTTATAAACATATATTTTAAACATTAATAAATTGAAATGAACTACAAATTAATTTTATTAAAATATATTTTATAAATTTAGTAAGAAATTTGAAATATATATTGCATAAAAAAGCAATATTTGGTTTAATCAAATTTTATTTTTATGAAAATTTAGAAATAATTTTTATTTATTTAACAATGAATAAACATATAACTCAGGGGGAAAGGTATTATCTTAAATACAACACATTTAAAACAAACTACAAAAAATTATAAAACTGAATTAAAGCATTGAAAAGCACCTAAAGTATAGTAAAAACAACTTAAGCTTATATCGCCAATTTTAAAATCAAGCATTATTTACTTAAATGAGTTTTAATTAATATATAATAACATAAATTAATTTACGCAATATAAAAATTAATAAATGCGCACAAATTGCTTTTCTGAACATACATAAAACAGTAATTAATTGTTCGAAAAATCATTTTTAATTGCTTTAATTCATTATATAATCAACTACATAAATAACTTCATTAATTTAAATGCTTTACAAATTTCTATATAAGTTTTTTTATTTCTCTGTTCGACTTTAATTGTTGCCCCTAACAGTATGCAACAAATATTTTCCGCTGTATTTAATCGAAATTACTGCACTTAATTCTGTTATCAGGTTGATATCGCTCGCTTTATTACATTATTAAAAATTTAATACAATTGATATTCGCATAACCTGCAACATTAAAAATAATAATAATAAATGTGTGATTTATGTATATTGTACTGCAGTAAATATAAATAATTAAAAATGTGTCAATTTTTTTTTATCAATTTTTTGTAGTGGTTCTATGTCACAAAAGGAGCATTCATTTTTTATTAACATCATTCTATTCTGTATAATTATTTAAAATAATTATACCAAATATAGTTTTATTTAAATATTTTATAACATGTTTTTTTAATTGTAAATGAGAAAAAGCATTTGTAACAATTTTACATATTTGTCCACTAATATAAAAAAATTATAAAATAAGTGATATAAACTTATTTAAGTAATGTTTAACACTTCGCAATAAGTGAGGGAATGTGGTTTATTATTATTTAAGTTTAAATCGGATTATATACGTACTTTTATTAAATATAAAAGCAATCACATTTGAATTTTAAATTATTAATGAAGAATTAAATTCTTTTTTAATGCTTTTATAAATCAATGAAGTTGTTCGAATCTTTTTATTTTAAATAAGATTATAGGAATATATGTGTATGTGGGTTTATATCAGAGCTTTGAAATGAAATTTTTTGTGTTCCGACAAAAATATCGGTTTATTTCAGTTTTCGATTTGGTTCCGGTTCGAAACCCCGAATTTTTTTCGGTTTTTGCTTTGACAAAAATATCTGTTTCTTCGGTTTTCGGTTTGGTTCCGAATCGAAGCTCTGGTATACATATAAAAAAAATCGAATTTAAATTTTAAATTTTTAGTACAGACTCATTTCTTAGAAGTAGTTTCAAATCTCACTGTGGGTTTCGAAGCTTTTAATCAAATAAACAAAAAAAAATATCAAATAAAATATATTTATTTCTTACTCAAATAATGTACATTCCATATGTTATAGTTAACAAAGCTGTCTCTAAGATAGATAATTCAAATGATTCAGTATGCTGCTTAGTTTTCGCAACTGTCAAAAAATCTGTTTAGACTTTTTAGCTTTAATTTCATAAAATTGGTAGACTTTGGTTTCTAAGAACTCAACTGTAGAACAACTGGAATCTTGTCACAGGTTAAACACTTCTTATCACAACATGTCTATTAGAAATGGCATTCAATGTGTTGGTGTATTTTATAGCTTCTGTTCTGATTCAGTAATTTTTTTTAATTAAAATACTTTTAAGATACTTTTTGTTGAACAACATCATTCCACTCAAGATTGCAAAATTCATCAGATTGCAATTCACCCTACCTATTTCTTGCCTTGATAGTCCAGAACTGATCGCAAAATGGCGTGGTGCCTTCGTCTAACTTCATTAAAAAGCTATTTATCGTTGTTTAGCATAACCAACCATAAGCAAACAGTGTGACACTATGACAGTCAGACACTACGTTGATTATCAATTTATATATCGTTCTACACAGATACAGAAATAAAAAAATTTTGCTTGAGCCTTGATTGGACATTTGCATATTAGATATTTATGCTTAAAATTCTTCTTTTATTTATAAATTTTAATAAGTTATTGATCTTATTTTTTTGACTACGTTAATTGTCAATTTATATATCTTTCTTCAGAGACGCAGAATAAAAAATTTTGCTTGAGCCTTTGTTAGACATTTGGCTATTAAATATTTATACTCGAAATTCTCCCTTTTTCTATAAATTTTATCAATTTTTAATAATTTTTCATTGATCTTATTTTGTTAGGATTAAAGAAATAAATTCATAAATTAAAAAAAATCTAAAACAATATAAAATGAAAATAATATATTATCATATCTTTCTTTTTAGCTCACACAAGTTCAATATTTTTACATATTTATCCTTAAGGTACTTTAAATTAGTTTACAATCATGAAGTGAACAAAATACTGTCTGCTCGCATAAGCATAATTAAATAAATTAATTAAAAGTATAGGATTTTCTTAATTCTCATATTTTAATCCATTAAAATCTATTAATTGCATTCTGTGCGTAATAGTTAAGTAAGTTAATAATACTAAAAAGGCTCTTAGCAAAAGGATTTGTGTTATAGGAAATTTAATAGCATTTGAATGTGGATATTGAATGTTTTATACAATACAAATTTTATACAACTTAAAATAGATACAATTATTATCTAAGCTGTAGAATAATAGTGTATTAAAACTTAAATTAAATGAATTATATTATTTAAGGAAACAGCTTGTGAAACACAATAAACTGGCATTATAAATCCTTGTTTGCAATTAAATTGCATTAAATTTAAGAGCTAATTTTATGCTGAAATAGAAATTAACTGAAGTACAAATTGGTGCCTTAGAGGGCATTTCAAATAATTTCGAATATTTAATATAATCAAATGGCAAATCAAAACATACGTAAAATTTGTTGCTCATACGCACCGTGCGCCCAATGCAGGGACCGAGTGCAGTAGAGTGCAGTTGCAACCTGTGCCAGCGTTAGGCAATTTTAGCATGTGATTTAATTATTCGTACGTTATGTTGCATAGTGCACATTGCACATTGGTAATGATTGTTGTTGGTAGAATCAAAGCAATGCATTAGAATTTTAATTAATTTTGGTATTTGAAAGGATTTTCATATATTTTGTGGCTATTACAGTACTTTATATTATAAGAGTATTAACTTTTTAATAAAAAGATAAAAAAAATATATACTTTATGAGAAACTGTAGTCATGTTTAAAATATATTTCTATTTTAATACATATATAATATGTATATATATATATATATATATATATATATATATATATATATAATATATATAATATATATATATATATATATATATATATATATATTTAATGTATACACATTTTAATATATTCTATTTTATTTTCTATTTAATTTATTTCTATTTTATTTTTATTATTTGTAGATAAATAAAAATTCACAAACCACATCAAAATCAGGAGCAGGCGAACGCAAAAGGTGGATACATGATCCGACAAGTAAGTTAACTAACTTTATTATAATTATACATATTTTTTGTTACTTATAAGCATTAAAGCATCTGTTTAAATAATGTCCACACATTTAACGTTGTTTGAAGATAATAATTTATACTGCTGCTATAAATTCTAAGCGCATCAATAAAACCACAGGGCATATAGATACTTGTACTGCAGCAATGATGGTCTACGTGCACTGCCCATTGATAATCGTATTGGTGTTTGCTATGTGGTTTATTGAGTCATAACCTTATTTTATGTGCTGCTCAATTGAATGCCAAAATTTATAGTATATTATAAATAAATAACAAGCTCTTTAATGCACTCTACAAATAACAGCAATATCTGTTATTCCAATTTATATCGTGGCACACATTTCACAACTTCCAATTTCCCACTAAACCAAAAATTGTCTCATCAAACAGGTGACCTGTGCCGGCCGTTAAATTGCAAAAAGCGTGAAATTTGTTTATTGGAGGATGAGTATAGCGCAGTGTGCGTGTCGAAAAAAGAATTGCACAAGAATCGGTGAGTACCCTGAACCAGCCCATAAGATAACAAAAATATTTAAATTTTCTATAATATTCTGAAATTTTTCTGAAAATTTTTTACATACTTTTAAACACCGTACACATGTGTTTAATTAAATTTGTTTTAAAATATCCTTTGTGTAATGATACGCAGCGATGAGATAATTTCGAAAGCCAAATATTTAGAGGAAGAAGCCAAGCGACGTGTCAATCAGGACGATAACGACGATGAAGATAAGAGTTTAAGCTCTGACGAGGATTCGAAAGAGGATGATGTTTTCTATGAGAGTAACAATGCTGACAAAGACGACGATGAGGATGAGGAGTAAGTGTGCACCATAACAAATTTTCACACAATTCATTTAACATATTTGAGTGACATTGCTTTCCCAACCAGTGAGGAAAAGTGAAAAACATTTTTTTTGTTTTTTTTTTTGTTAAAGGATTAAAAGTTAAAGCAGGTCACTTGCGGCATTAAGCACGGTTGAATGCATGCAAAAGAGGCGACTGATATCTACCCTCACTTTTCCATGTGTTTTCATGTGTGTGTGCTAAAAAATGCTGCAGTGTGCATGTTTCTTTTTTTAACGAAAAATTGTTTTATTGTGCATAAAACAATGAATTTCTAAAATAATTCAGCTTTTTTTTCCGAATTGCCAACATGAATTCTTGGCCCATTTATTTTTTATGCGCCAACGTAGTGACGCCATACTAAGTTGTGCCATAATCAACAATGTAACCATCAGTCATGCCTGGGAAATAGTAAAGTCCTTTAAGCGATATACTCGCTTACACGCAAACATATCTACTTATATCTGCTGACTTATTTGTACGTTATCGTTTGACCTAAACCTAAATTGTGACCTTACATGCGAACATTTTTCTTATACTTTGGAAAAAATATCGAGTTTAAAAATAAAAAATAAAATAAACTTAAATAATGTTGTATGCGGTTTTGTGTAAAAATTTTTAAAATTCTTTAAAAGAATTTCATGCTATACATTCTCTGCCCTTTTAGTAGCGAAACATATTAAAAGTTTTTGTTTTTTATTATAAAAAAAATATTATTACATATAATATTTGAAACAGCAACTTAAATTTAATAGAAGTTCGTAGTAGTAGTAGTAGTAGAGTAGTATTAGCAAAGATTTAATTCATTATTTAAATATACTCGTTTTTCTTGAAAAAGTCATTTTATTCATATGTATTCTTCTATACGTAGCCCCTCAAATGCATAAGAGTTTATTTCAATGGAAAATCAATTACGATATTAAAATATAAGGATTTCATACGTATTTTATGTTTATGACAGCAAAATAATAGATATTAGATGCTTTTGATTATTTTGCAAATGTTCACTTTTTGTGCGAGATGGCATATAAAAGCAATAATATTTGATTTATGACTATAATAAATATAGTAGAAAGAGTAAAGAAAATTATTCAATTTTTAAAAATTTATAGAATTCAAGTTTGCAAATAAAATGGTGTGGAATATAAAAAATGTACATATATATGGTATGTACACATACAAAATATTTAAAAATCTTATTCAGATTTTAATATATTAAAATATAAGAATATATAAGAATGTTAAAGAATTTAATTAATTAATGTGGTTTATCTCTTTAACTTAAATTTGATTGAATTATTTAAAATGATTATAGAGCAAAGTAGAGAGCCCTGAAATTATTTATGAAAACTGACAGGCTTACTTACCAATACCGCGTTATCGAATCTCAGAATGGTTACAGGTTCCTCGGGGAGTTACGCAGATTTGAGGTCAATCATTGCTTAATCTGATAATTATAAGTTGTAATTTAACGTCAAATTTATCAGACAAAAGTGATTATTATATTTTAATAGAAACTTATTATATATCATAAAGAGGTTTTTCAAATCTGATGAAGTGATAAACACTAATCCAGTCAAGGCGTAGAGAGGGGTTATGAAGAAACCTCACAGTTAATAGAGAATAAAAGTGCTCAAGTGCACTGACTCAACCAGCCTCAACATAATAATAATAAATTTCTTAGTGCAATAAATTATAATTCTCATTAAGTTTAAAAACGATATATTATATTTAGCAATGGCAGCTTTTACCGTGTTTTGTGTTTTCTAATAGTTTTAATATTGCATGTACTCCATAAGTTGTGATAAATATTTGAAATACTTGATGTAATGCGGGCAATAATGTTGTCTTAATACGCAAGATTAGAGTTTCTTAAAATGTGCTTGGTAATAAAATGTCCGAAGCTTATCGAAGGTGTTGGAACTTTAATTTCTTTTATTTGCACATTAGCGAATTGATAAAAAAGAAAATGGGAACGAATTTAAATAAAAGTTTTGTTTATAAGTAGAGGTGTACAATATGGGTGCTGGACTTCGTTTCTCCCACCAGAAAAAAAAACTTAATCAAAAGCAGGGTTCGTATTTACTCCATCAGGCTCATGAGCAAGAGCCAATTATTACGTTAGTCTGAAATTGACTCATGAGCGTGAGCACAAGATTGGCTCATATCGAAGAGCTACTTATCAGCGTGAGCATTTAATTCGCTCATTGTGAAGAGCGGCTCCTAAGATCTTACGAGTTGAGAGCTCAACTGTTCAGTAAAAAGCGATTTATTTTTGATTAGTAAATTTGCTTTATTTATTTTTGTATACGTTACTTATATGAAAATATTTACAACTTAATAGCGGCTTTTGCTCATGAGTGTAAGCTCTGCAATTGGGCTCGCTCGTGAGTGTGAGTCATCGTATGAAAAAAGTGTCTTGTCTGCTCATGAGCTGTAAGCAGAATCAGCCGAAAAGAGCCACTCATGGGTACGCAAATACGCAATCAGGTAAAAAGTGACAAATTTTAATAGTAACATTTTATATTCTATATAAAATTAAATTTATTAATTTTTAAAAATATATCTTTTTTATATTATTTATATATATATATATATATATATATATATATATATACAATACATATTAACATAGATGGATTAAAATTTAAAATGTTTAATTTAAACTTAAAATTGTGTGATCAATCATGGTCGCAATGCTCCGCTCCGTTAGGAACTAGTACCCCATTTATTCCTAACCTAAAATTGTGTGATTCAGTTATATACAAATAGATATTCTTTTATACAAAAGTAAACAAAAGTAACCAATATTATTTGCTCTACTTAGTTTAACTTCCTGTTTGAAATATCTGAACAGATATAGTATATAGTACCAACGCCACTTTAATCAAAACCAATTTCTACATCGCAGAGCAGATAAAAGGAACTCTCGCATCAGATAAAAAGTGAAAATCACATATGAGTGACGTGACGTTGCCCAACACTGCCATTGGATGCTGCCACATAAAACATCGTTTCAAAATAGAATTTTCCGTTTTATTGTTTTCATAAATTTGAACTTTTTTTTATTTATATTTCCTTTTTGTTTTTATTTGTAAAATGAACAAAAGATTTTTTAGTTTTAGTCCAATTTTGTGTAAAAATTAACAGAATGATAAAAGAAAAAAAAATTTATAAAAAAGTGAATAAACGAATCCTTATCCAATTTTTTTTTTTTTTTTGATTCTATTCTTTGGACTTTTATTGTTATTTTTTGTGGTATTGTTTTCGGTTAAAGGATTTTTAACAAAACGAACTGAACTAAAGTTTTGTGGGGCACACCTAAATATTTTTATTTCTTGGTAAGAAATGTGATATTGCTCCACAAATATACACAATATTAGTACTGTTCTAATATATATACATATATATATATATATATATTGGCATTGTAAAACATTTTGTATCAACTTATTAACTTACCAAAAATAGCAGTTTCGGATCCGCAAAAGTTTGTGTGTCCTTTTTTTTATTAAATTTCTTTCTCTTCGTAGTCAGTCGTCATATTTCAGTCAAGATTATTTAATAAAAACAAACGAACAATTTCGTTTGCAGCAGAACTTTTGACCGGAGTCAGCATTGTTTTCAACATAATTTGATGAATACTTTTATTTATATTAATAAATATTTTTATATATGTATATTTTTTCATTTTTATACCTTTTTGCAGTCCTTATTGTTGCAGCTGTTACCAGCTCTGACGGAGTGCAAACTGAAACTCAATATTCCATATAAACTGTTCTTTGTTATTTGCTGATTGTTATGTTATTGTTGCTGTTAACTGTTGACATTGTTAACAGACTGATTTTGTTTTTATTTCGATTTCGATTTTTATGTGATTTCAAAAAATATTTATTTTCATAAAAATGCATATTTTGTGTTAATAAAACAATACTTCACATCTTTTGCTTATACAAAATTTAGCTATTTCTCAACACAAACGTTTTAAATTTCAATAAAAACAGTTCTAACTCAAACAGAATCTATATGCTTAAGATATAGATTTCAACTCTGGAAATTCTATATTAACAAAAATTTCTCTATTTTAACGCATTTTATCGCATTTTAACTGCATTTGTGTGAGTTGAACATTTTCCACATCTGCGATATTATTTTTCATTTTTCATTATGTATGCAAAACTGTTGGAGAATGAAATTTTAATCCTTTTGTCTAACATAATGCATTTTCCTTCATTACTTTTTATCATTACTACAATAAAAATCAACTAAAGATTTCGCTTGTTCAGATGTATAAAATGTGAAAAGTACTTCAGGAGGGATATTAGTGCCATATGTGGAAAATTTATACTTAACAACAATGAGCACCCGAAAAGGATTCATTAAAAGTTTAATTTACAAAGGAATTTTTACACACAAGTGAAAATAATACTTTAAGTTTCGAAAAGAATTCAATTTGAATTTTAAAAATTTACATAAAAAATGTATGAAATAATTTCCGAAAACTTCTCTAATCATACACTTTAGCGAACATCGTTAAAAAAAGAATTAAACTTTCATATATCTTTATTAAGAATAAAAAAATATAACGTATAGAAAATAGTATATTGTGAGTGGTTAGATTCATGTGTGATCATCGATTACTTTTATTTCGAAACTAACACACTTAAACTAAATTGACCATTTGTAATACCACCCAATCCCAGTAGGACCTCTAAACAAATTTTCGACCTTTGTTATATCATTTTGTTAATATTAAAAATCTTGATTTAGTAACCTCGTTGGATCCACTTTGGCAATTTATGAAATATCTTCCAGATTATAGTCACATTGGAAGGAAACGATGATAGTTTCATTTTTCGCCTAATCACTGTATATGATTATACTGTGGTCTTTATATATGATATCCATTTGTAAGATGAGTCGATTTTTAAGACAGTTATTCCATCCAACACCTTTGAAAATTCATTTTATCGCAAAGAAATAAACCTTTTCAAATGAATCTGTTGGCGAAAAATATCGTTCGTCTGTTAATCTATTTCTTTTTGAAACATATTTTTGACTATATATAATAACCACTTATAGAAAACAAATATATTATAATATAATAAAATGTTATAATATAATAAAGTATTATAATAAAATATATATTATTGTATAATAAAGTATTATAATATAATAAAGTATTATTTTTTTTTCAATGTTATAATTATTTTTTTTTAAATAACTATTTTCATTTTAATATACAAAATAATTAATTTTATTTTTATTAATTTATTTTTTAAATGTATAATATTATACTTTTTATCCTAAGAATTTGACTAGTAGTTCCTTTCTTGATAAACGGATTATATATTTTTAACACTGGCACCAATATTATTGGATAAAAAGTATCCGCTGTTGCATTTTTAGTGTATTCCTGAATAAAAATCTTCTTTACCGAAAATGAATTTCAATCAATTTTATATATCTTTTGCCATTTTCTGGTAGCTTCATAACTCCATAATATAGAATTTATATAATAATATAGAATTTTTGTGGCTAAATGCCGAACAAATTGGACAAGTGATTTTCAGCGACTTTTCCGTAGGCAAGTTTTTTTCCATTAAGAGTGATTTGAAGAGACAGAGGCAAATAGTAGTCAGAGTTATATGGTGCATATGGTTATGATTGATCAAAGATATAACACAGAACTATTTTTTTGTTTACTAAACAGTAATATTTGTTGGCTGACCGAGACCACACACAGACCAGGAACCAGTTGAGAGTCCTTGAAGCCAGTAAGTGACAAAACACATTGCTTAAGATATGTGTCTTCTTCATGAATTTTGCAGATAAATCACACTAACCTCAGAGACAAATTTCAGTTCCTCACAACTGATAAATCGAGAGAAATCTGTTTGCGTTTTAGGGAAAGCCATATAGAGATGCTCTAGAACTTACTTAAAATCTACTCCCTTACATTTTTTGCACTTGTCAATGTTTAGAATATTTAACTTGTTTTATCTAATATTTTTTGCACATAACGCCAGTGATTTTACAGATATTTAAAGTACCCGTCTTTCGCCTTTTTCAGCATGTATTGGTTTATTTGTCGTATATATTTCGCAAGGGTCTAAGTATATTACTTATATTGGTTAACGCCAATTTTAACAATAATGTCAACTGTTACATTTTCTTTAATACTTTGATGTCCAAAAATCCAATATACACGCAGCTTAAATCCTTGGGATAAGTTGGTCTATTGCCTTCTTGAATTGCTGAACATTTTTGAAAGATATTCAGTATAAAGATATTACTTTTATAGCAATTTGGCTCATAAAATAAAAATGTCCAAAAATTCAATATTCACATAGACCACTATGGGTCAAACTGCCAACTTGCATTGCTTAACATATTTGGAAGATGCCCATTATGAGGATATTGCTTTTATGGACACTTCACTTAAAACTAAAAAAAAAAGTAATGCATCTATAATTGTGTTTATTTTCTCTTTTATCTTAAGCGAGGCTAACTGTCGCAAATAAATGATCTCTGCATTTTATAGATAAATTATTTTCTGCCATTTATATTCCGAAGTATTTTAAACAAATGAACTTGAAATCAATGTTGTTGTCATTAGCTTCTTTAAAGGACATAAATTATATTTCTTTTTGAATGGTTCTACCTAATATATTTTAAACTTGTTTGCTAATACCTTCAATCAATCAATTATTCACAAAATACTATAATATGACACTCTTATATATTTATTTTAACATTTTAATACGACTTAAAAATTTCAATTTTCCAATAAAGAAACCCAAGCCAATATGGTTGTATTATTACTGTCATTCAAATATGGTGTGAAATTATCTATATGTTTACAGGATTATCTACGCAACAGCACACTATCTAAATACATTATAAATTTATTATGAACAAATGCAAACATATAGGAGGACATAGGAGTAGATAAGTAGGTACGTAGGTACGTAGAATATATAGGATATGTAGGATGTTTGTCTGGCATGTGTGCAAAGGAATAGGCAGAAAATTGAAATGTACTCATGCAAACGATTTTGTTATTAATTTCATATATAAACATAATTTTCCAGTTCACTATCAAAATGCGCATAACCAAATTAAATTTATAATAGAAAATATGAAAATATGAAAATGCAATTTATAGAATAAATAAGTCGAAGTAGATATGTTAATTCATTTTAAAAAGGCATCAAATTTCAAAAGCAAATATTTAATATTTTACGTGCATAATCTGTCACATATACAGATTCTAGCATTCTGCCAAATATATGCACTCCACAGAAGTATCTGTGAGTCATAAATTATTTACTAGGAAATCAACAACAATAGCAACAGCAGTTATCTGCAGCAAAATCATTTAATACCAGCAGCAAATGTTGGTAAGCTGAGACTTTGTGAAAGTTTGTGAGACTTTGGTAGTTATGCATGTAGTTATGTATGGTGTAAGGTGTATGGTGTATGGTGTATGGAATGGCACTCAAATGGAAAAACTGTTATCAGTAGAAATCAAATATCTTTGCACATTTACATAAAAATTAATTTTTCTATTTTGTACTTAATTTTTATTTTATTTTCTTTTAACTTTTGCTCCATGGAACGAACCATTTGCAACTTGCAACCTCACAACCATCACTTTTATTGAATACACTTCATACTGTAACGCTTCACATCGTTAGCAATTGCAAGCCCTGTCCTGTGGCAAAACCGACTTTCTTATGCGGCGCCGACAACAGGACATACTCTTCGTTATGTAGATTGGATTACCATAACTGCATACATGCAACATCTATAAGGATCGCCTGCAAAGGATTCTGTCCATGCAAGGGTAAGTACATAGTGCTGTCAAATTGATGCAAAATTTGTAACTTAAAGATACGCAAAGCTTACTTACATACCTATGTGCACAAATACAAATATACGGATGTCTTTATGTTTGTTGAAGACAATAAAGGAGACTGTGTACATTATACTGGGTTTTGGGTTCTGTTGAAAATTCTGGTGGTATTTGTATTGGGTTATTGTGTCAGTGTTTGCAACCTATTTTATTAAGGGAACCTGAACGTGAGTTGACAGGTTTATTATTTCTTTCATAAATTATATTAAAATTGAAACAAATACAGCAAAAATGTAATTTATGTTATGAATCGAATTATTTTTCCTTATTTCCATTTCTTTAATCTTTTGAGGCAATAAATTGCCTCACAGTTGGTGCTACACAAGGTACAACAGCTACAAAAGTAACTACGAGAACAGCAAAATCAACAGAAACAACAAATTCCACAAATAAGAAATAAAATATCGAAAAATTTTATTGATAAAAGCAAAAAAATGAAAATTGAATTATTTTTATACATTGCAGCAGAAGGAATTGATCCGTCGCTTCTTGGTATCCATTCCAGTCGTCCTTTATTTTACTAGAAAATTCATTTGTATTCGTATTACATGCGACATTTGTACCGCGCGCATCCTCCAATTTTTTTTATGTAAATTCCGAGTATATTTTGCACACTTCGTTGCACTGCATTTGCATTTAATTTAATGCGGCTAAAAAATTTTCCCTTAAGTGCGAAGTAAAGCCAATCAAATTCATAAGATCGCAACTGTTCCACTAAAGCCAAGCATGCCTTAAAGACAGATCTGAGAAAAATATAATAAAATAAAAATTATTGACAAAAAAATACATAAAAAAAATTAAGAAATTAATAAAGGAAAAAAGAAAAAAAGGCTTTTCAGATGAATTTACATAAATCTCAGTTTACTTGATTAGAATATTAAATATATTTATAATAAAAAGATTAAAATTATTAAAAAAAAATTCTTGAAGAAGTGATATTAATAAAAAAAAACGAATTTACATAAATCTCTATTTATTTAAGTGAAAGATTAAAAATTTTAAATAAAAAATAAAATTCCAATTATTAAAAAAAAACATCTTAAAGTAGTTTATAAAGTTAATAAAAATTTTTTAGACGAATTTGCATAAACCTCGTTTGATTTAAGCGGAAGATTAAAAATTTAAAATGAAAATAAACATAAAAAAATAAAAATCGAAAAATATAAAAATAAAATTAAAATTAATTTAAAAAATACATCTTAAATATGTTTATGAAGTTAATAAAAAAAAACTTTTTAGACGAATTTGCATAAACCTCGTTTGATTTAAGTGGAAGATTAAAAATTTAAAATAAAAATAAACATAAAAAAATAAAAATCAAAAAATATAAAAATAAAAAAAATAAAAATAAAATTAAAATTAATTTAAAAAAATACATCTTAAATATATTTATGAAGTTAATAAAAAGAAAGCTTTTTCGACGAATTTATATAAACTTCGTTTAATTTAAGTGGAAGTTTAAAAATTTTAAATAAAAATAAAAAAAATAAAATTAAAATTATTGAAAAAAAAACTATTAAAAAATTGGCAAAGAAATAACTCTTTTCAAACGAATTTTCATAAATCTCGAATATATAAAGTAAAAAATTTGAAATAAAATTATTAAAAAAAAAATATCTAAAAAGCATTATGAAATTAATAAAGAAAAAAAAACTTTTCAAATATAAATCTCAATTTATTTGTTAGAATATTAAATTTACTATTTTATTAAATTTGATTAAATTTTCGATTTACTTAAGTGGAAGATTAAAAGATTGAAAAAAATTCTAAACAATAAGTAAAGAAAAAGTGTTTTCAGACGAATTTTCATAAACCTCGGCTCACTTAATTAGAATATTAAACATTTAAAATAGAAAATTTAAATTAAAATTATCGAAAAAAAAATATGTAAAAAAATATTAAGATATTAAATAAGAAAATAGTCCTTTCAGAAGAATTAACACAAATCTCAGCTCATTTAATAAGAAAATTAAAAACTAAAAATAAACATTAAAATTAGTAAAAAAAAATCAATCAAAAAATTTTTAAAAGTTTAACAAATTGCAAATAATAATAAAAAATTAGAAATTATTAAATAAAAAATATTTTAAAAAATACTAAGAAATTAGTGAATACAAAAGTCTTTTTAGACGAATTTACAGAAATCTCTGCTCACTTAATAAAAAAAATTATATATTAAAAATAAAAAAATACAAATTTTTAAGTGTATTTAAAAGAAATACTATTAGTATCACTTGGTGTTGCTTTTTTTAGTTTTATTCCATAAAGAATTCTATGATTCATTCACATTTTTCTGTGACCTCTCAAACATTACTTCAATCCTTAGCTTATATTTTAATTAAATTGCAACTAAACCAAATAATTAGCTAATTAGTCATGAATCATAGAAATCCCAAAAACTATTACTTTTGCAGCAATTTAATATTTTTCCTACAATATTAATTAAAATTAAAATTGTGTCCCTCCATTTACTATAATTTTTAATTGAAAATGAAATTAATTTACCCATAAATTCAATTTTAGAAAATCATATTAAATATGTTCTATTTCCACTGCATTGTGAAAACAATCCGAGTATAATTAAATTATTGTTCTAAAGACGTTTATTGTTTAGTTAAAAATTTCAAAATTTTCTACTATTTAACTGCAAGTACCCTACGCAGCCCCTTACGTGTACCTCCCCACAACCAATTTAAATGCAAAGCACCGACAAGTTCATTAAAGAATTATGAACACTACTGAAAGGATACATGCAGAACAAGAGTCTGTTCTTTTGCCCCTGAAACTATACTGCATTGCTGTTGTGTATAATAAGTGAACTAAACCAAAATTTCTACACTGACAAAAGCTGCAAAGCTACAAAGCTCCAACCATAGAACACTAACCAGCACCAACAAATAATTTTGAACGTTTTGTGTTCATTTTCCCTTTAATCTATTACTATTACTATTATTATTATTATTATAATGTATCATTGTTGCATTGTTGCATTCAACAATTGAAACAGTTTAATTGTCCTTGTATTGTTTTATATGCTTTTGTTGTTATTTACGTGTATAAAATGTTCTCTTTTGTTTTCTTTTCTGTTGTGTTGTGTTTTATTGTTGCAGAAAATATTGACGGCAAGCGTTTGCAACGTATTAGCGAGCGTCAAAATGCTTTTAATGCCAAATATAAGAAGACCATAGAGCAACAGCAGAAACAATTACAGCAACAACAGCAGCAGCAGCAGCAACAACAACAGCTAATGTACAAGGACAACAATAATATTTTGAGTGATGACACCAACAACAATAACTTTAATGCTATCATGGACGTAAGTAGTAGCTATAATTTGTTTTTTGTTTTTTGTTTTCTTTTTTTTTTTCTTTTATTTTTTTTTTTTGCATGGAAAATCAAGAAGATGCAGAAACTATAAAATGTGTGTGTTGATCGGGAGTACACTGTACAATTGACTGTATCATGCAATGAATACAAAAACACTAACTATAGAACACCCGAAAAACAGTATTTTAAATGTGTACCAGATGTGTTAAGTGTTAAGAATTTAAATAAGACTTATAATTAATTTTTTTTAAATATTATAATATATTCTATTAGTGATATTATTATTTTAATAATATACCGTTACTATTAACGTAACTAACATCACAACGTATCTTCAATATACGTTTTTTACTAAACTATAGCTAATGTTCTTAATATTAAACATAACAGTCTTGATTATATGTATTTTTGAACCACCTAATTGATCAATTGTTTAAAATATACAAACCTTTAATTATTTTTTTAAAAAATGTATTCAATTGTCCCCACTAATTTTGATTAATATAAACCAGACTTTCTTTTATATTGAAATTAAATCCATTATTAGTCTTATTCCTCTCACTTCTTCTTTTGCATACTATTTACCTCTCTTTTTCTATCATACTATCTTTATCTCCCTTTCTTGCTCTCTACCTCTCTCTCTCTCGCTCTATCTCTCTATATATATACATATATATTTCACATCACCATTATCCACGGTTGCCACTTATGGTACTTTAGTACCAAAATTGGTACTTTTTCTTTTTTTTTTTTTCGTTTGGTACTCACATTCAAAAAATGGTACATTTTTGACGACCCAACTTTATTGTGGATATTTCCAATTAATTTTTTTTATAAATGCAACTTTGCAATATTTTATATTTTGTTCATTTATAACACTATAAAAAACACAGAACGAGAAAACAAAAAGGTCCAAAAAAATTTTGGACCTTTTTTTACAGAAATGGTACTTTTTTAAACCAATTTTGGTACAGAAAAAAATTTTCAAGTGGCAACCGTGCCATTATCACTCTTTCTATTTCTATATCCCTCTGTTATTTAATTTTTTTTTATTATCTTTTTAATTCTCTTTAATCTCCTTCTTTTTTACTGCTTCTATGGTACTTTATAAATCTCCCATTTTCTCATTAAACTTATTTCGTTTTACTTTCTATCTATTCTACATCCTAGGTCTTCTTCTTTTTCAGTCAATTTCAGTTAATTACTGCGACTTTCATAAAATACTAAAATGTCTATACTCGTACAATATTTCTTCAAATTCATATATTGTTAAATAAACTAAAAAAAAAAACTATTTTTAAACAAAATAACATACAAGAAAATAAATCCTATATAGTTTAATGTAATGAATTTGTATTTTTCTCTTAATGTTCAATGTTAATTCCTTTGAATAGCATAGCCAACTAAATAGACTTATCCGGTTAGTAACCTTTGATTTTGAATGACTTTAAAAGTCACGCCAAAACTGATCTTCGGATTTCTACTCTTAAGCGCTGGTCCTTTAGATCTTCATTTCCCGAAATTCGAATGGTGACTCTTTCTTGATATCACAAGTTTAGTACAAATTAGTACATTAGTACTAATTACTACTAATTACTACTAATTACTACTAATTAATATTAATTACCATAAGAACACAAGGTTCCTACTCCAACCTAACCTAAGCTAAATCCATTCACTTC